GAGGTAAGAAAAAGATAAATGAAGATGAAGCTGGGTTACCTTCTTCGTCAGAGACGACGGCTTTGCCCATGGTTTCAGTGAGAGAGAGAGAGAGGTAGTTTAGGGTTAGGGCAACGAAGGAAGTGCGGCTGCTAATTCACAAGGAATGTGGTTTTTGCTGAGCGTTGTGTCCTGTGAGAGAGTGCTCACTCTCAGAGGATTCCGAGCACCAGAACAAATATGAATATTTGTGACGTGCGTTGTGGGAGAGAGGGGGTTGCGGGGGGGTGAGGGTTGGCTCCAAAAAGTAAATAAGGGCTGTTTGGTGTTCTATTAAAAACTGTGATTTTTCTTAAAAACAAGAAGTTCTCTACTTCATTTTTAAAGATTCAAAAAGTTGTTTGTTATGCAACTTGAAAACTTGTTTGGTTGCTTGAAAACAATTTTTTATTTATTATAATTAATATATTTTAATAAACATTATTAAAATTATTTTAAACATAATATTTTATGTAACAACCTGGTCTTTAATTAATATTTAATTATTAATTTATTCTATTGAAAGACAATTATACCCCTAGAATATTTTATTAGGTTTAAAGTTGATTTTTTGACCGGGAAGGAATTTGGGGATTTGGGTGGTACCATTACGTAGAGCTCGACTATACGAGTTCGTAGACATGTGGCACACTCAATTCCGAGTTGTAACGAATGAGAAAAGGTCTAGAAACAAAAAGGACGTAAAGAGAATTTTAAAATTTATTATTACTACAGTACCCAAACTCTTTTTATTTTTCTCTCCTTCCTCCCCCAGCAGCTTCAGCCATTTTTTTATTGGTTTTTCGACAGTCACTGTTCAACTTCCAAGCCACAAAATCGACATTATCGTTCACCGGATGGCCACGCCACCTTCACAAAAAGTGTTCATCTCGTCCTCTTCTATAAAACCCACCTAAAACCCGATCAGATTGGCTAACGATGAGCTCGAATCGAAGCTAATAAAGGGTTAGGCTTTTTCCGGCGGTATTTTTGCATTTTCCAGCGACCCCGACCACGGAATCTGTCGAGTAAGATTGTCCCATATACCCATATTATGCCGACGGTTTCGGCTTTGTTCCAGTTAGTTCCAGTTGGTTTTTGGCCTTGGTCCAAGAACAAAAATGGTTCCAATAGGGTGTTTTACCTAGGGTAGAAGTTTGTACCAGAGGTTTGGAAGTTATTTATTTATTGTGTTCAGATGTGAAAAGTATGAGTATTTAATCATTTGCTCATTTATCACCTGCTTATATATTCAATGGTTGAAAAGGAAGAATTATAGCTCTTGGTTTTTATCAGATTTTGGTATATATATATATATGGATATATATTTTAAGTTTAGTTGAGAACAAATTTATTGAAAGTTTATATAAATGACGGGTTATGGTTTTCAAACCCACCGCGAGGGTACCCCCCAGTTGACCTGAGACAGTTTGTTATTTATGATTATGCCCCATGAGTTTCGGGGACGCCTGAACTGTGTGGTGCAAGGATTGCGGCTCAGGCTGACTAATGGTCCCTTGAGACCTGCGAGGAATGCAGCTCGAATGGACTTGGTGTCTTCGGGACCTACGAGGATTGCGGCTCAGATTGAAGTGTTATCTCTGAGACCTGCGAGGAATGCGGCTCGGTTAACTTTATGTTTCTGAGACATGCGAGGATGGAATTGATGGATTTTATTGGAATTGATGGATTATTATTGGAATTGATGAATATATGGAATTGACGGTATTAAAGGAATTGACGGATCAGATATGGGGGTACACCCAGGTGAAGAGAATTTAAGATATGAGATGCTTTTAAACTAAATTTGAGGATTTTATATAGTTACCATTATTTTCTTAAGCATCACTTTTGTTTTACAAGCGATAGATGGAAATATATATAGATTATAATCAAGTTATTGATATATATAAATATATTTATTTATTTATGAACTTGACGTGAGTTCGATACAAAGGTGTTCGGAACATATAAATCTTTAACTTATTTTATTTTATTTTACTATGTTCATTTATCTTTATCTTGCATTATTTTATATAGTATTAAATATCTTAAGTTTTTTCTAGTATATTTTGCCCCATGAGTCTTAGAGTTATCCGGATCGTGGGAGCGAGGATTGCGGACCATGTTGACCAGATGTCTCCTGAGTCCAATGAGGATTACAGGTCAGGACGTGTCACCGTTGTTGTCACGAGGAATTGATGGTTATGGTTTTGCAAGCATGATTACTTGATATAAATGCTTTTATTCCTTCATTTAAATATAGATATTGCCATGTGAGTAATACCAGGAAGCTTGGAACAGGAAATGAGAACTAGAGTGGTTTTGCAACGTAAGAACTACGTGTGGCTTAATCCCTCAGTAAAGGTACGTAGGCAGCCTATGGTTACAAGGTGCAGCCATGCGTTAGAATGTTTGAGTTTACCAATGCATTATTGTTGTCTGAAAGTTGAGATGAATTTTATTAGCTTATTGATTTATTTGATTTGTTGTGACCAAAGACTTGAATGTTATGATGCTTGATTCCTTTTGGAATAATTCGATACATACTGGCAGTTGTGATATATATTTAAACACATATGCTTGTTTATAGGTGGAAATTTTTTGAGAAATGTTCAGTTTACAGGGGAGACTCTGCCGAATACAAGTCGCATTTGAACTTCATTTAATTTCAGTTAAAAGGGCAATTTAGTCTTTTGTGCAAGCATTAGCAAGGTGTCGGACACTCACAGGGTTCGGCTCGGATTCCAAAGTGGAATTTGGGTCGGGTCCTGTCATTTTAACATCCATATTTTAGTACCATACATATATGATTGACAAATTCAATTTGGCATACTTATTGAAGAGTAAACAACGATAGACAAAGAAGACACATAGGAGAAAGCACCTAAAAATGAGCAAGAAATCGGGAAGGTACTGTGTGCTTCCAAATATTTATTAGTAGGGGAGAGAAATTATAGAATAATACTGTATCACCACGTCAGCTGGTGATACTTCCACTCAAAATTTGCCACATGTATTTTTTTAAACAAAATTAAAATATATATTTTACAACTGGACTTTGGCTTACAACTTTACCCTTCAACTTTAATGACCCTAACCCTTCCCCCCCTCCAGCTTCCCTGTGCTATACCCCTGCTATCGACGCCACACAACCCTCTTCCTTTCCCCTTCTCAGCCACGCACCCCGGCCTTCCCTCCCCCTCCAATATTCCCACCCCCTCTCTCCCTCATTTTCGGTGAAAAGTTAAACCCATTAATAAAAAAGCCAACAATCTTAAAAATATGTGCAAACCCAGTAAACATGAAACCATAAATCTTTAAATAAATAAAACACTAGTGAAAGAAGGGAAGATTGACGTAATGGGCGCGGGGCTTGATGAAGGAAATCCGCCAAAAATCTCCCCCTTCTACATCAGATTCTTCTTCTTCCTCACCATCTTCATTATCAGCTTTCATTCAAGGTCTTTTTAAAAGAGTAAGAAGTGAAATTTTCAGAGATTACCCATCTTCTTTAGCTTCAAGGGTGTCTCCAGAGATAAAATGGTAGAGTTTTATTGGATTTTGCTTATGGGTTTTGAGTCCTTTGACAATAGAAGTTCTTTAGATTCATTAACTATGAAGACGGTGAAGGCTGAGGTAGGTGGTGAGGGAGAAGGGAAGACGTGTGGTGTCGCAGATAGCAGGCATAGCTTAGGGAAGAAGACGGTGGACAGGGAAGACGGTGGGGAGGGGTTTCGGTGATTAAAGGTGAAGGGTAAAGTTGGTAGCCAAAGTCCAGCAGTAAAATATATTTTAATTTTGTTTAAAAAAAATACATGTGGCAGATTTTGAGTGGGAGTATCACCGGCTGATGTGATGATACAGTATCATTCTATAATTTCTCAGTAAGGGAATGCTAGCAACCTTCTCTCTAACCTTCTCCTTTGGACATTCTCCCTTCTCCTCTTGACATGTGTAACTTTCTTTATACTTCAAACAATGTCATTAATGCATCACACAAGCTAAGTTTTGTCTTCCAAATTTACCCTTATTAAATATATTGACTTTTTTACAAGGGTAGTGTTTTTAAAACTTTCTTACTACCTTGTTAATAAATCAAATATTTAAAAATAAAAATAAAAAAAACGTTAGTTTAGAGAAGAAAAAAAATGTCACCTTTTCTTAACACCTTTTTACTCTAAAGATTAGTTTTTTTTTGTTTTTTTTTCTAGAGAAAACAGACGTTCTTAATAAACTAGTTTTTTTTTGTTTTTTTTTATTTATATAGAACAACTAGTTTTGTAAACAAATGTTTTTTAATTAACTATTGTGAAAATTACTATGAATCTGTTGTTGCTAATAAAATATTCTATCACTTTCTATTTTAAAATTTTATTTTTTAGTTTCAATGGATATTGATATCAATACTGTTATGCTTTTCTTTTGTTGCTTATCTTAACATTTAAATACCTGAAAAATAATAACTACAACATATCTTTTCGTCAAATGACTATAAATTTGTTATCATGGAAGAGACATCATTTTTGTTGTTGAAAAAAAAGAAACCATTCTCTTTGAAGAAAAAAAAAACTGCAGTTTTTCTTATTTAATTTTTTTTAATAAGGTAGTAACAAAGTTGTGAAAAAAAAATCAATACATTTAATAAGGATAAGACTTGGAAAACAAAAATTAGCTTGTGGGATGCATTAATGACATTGTTTTTAGTGTAAAGAGAGTGACACATGTAATGAAGAAAATAGAGAAGGTCTAAAGGAGAAGGTTAGAGAAAAGGTTGCTAACATTTCTCTTATTAGTAAGTGAGAGAGAGAGCATATCCACAAGATTTTCATACATAACCATTGAACCTATTTAAAAGTTTTCACAACTCCAATCCAATCTCCCATTAATTACAAACCACAAGCTGAAATTAATCATATATAAGTGTCAAGCTCAATTAATCATTTAATCTAAATAAATTATGACTAATCATTCACTCTCATTCACTTTAGTAGGCTATTGAGCCACACTCTTCTCCGTGGATCCAACATCTTCAAGAACACCTTCCTCCAATCCAAATTAGTAAACTTAGCCAAAGCTTTCACATGAGCATCATCATTCACTCCCTCCACGGCCCCCAATATTTCCATACAATCCTCAATGATGCTCAATTCTCTAAATGGAGAGTATACTTCCTTCTCACTCTTACGCTTAAGCGTTGCCAATAAAACTTTAGTCTTGGCATTAGAAAATGCACATACATTGAAGGATATCAAAACAATACAAGTTATACAACAAGATGCATACCTTAAGACATGATGCCCAAGGTCACAACCCATCCCGGTATGAGAAATAAGCTTTCCAAACTCACGGTGAATCTTGTGCAATCAATTATATTTCCGCTTCAATTTGTCACTATTGTATCTCTTCCCAAACTTGTCAAACAACTTCTTTTCTATCCCAACCCACTCATTCTTATCTAAAGTATTGGTCTGAAAGCCTTTTTTGCCTCTTCATATAATAGATGAATAAAATGGTCTTCAATAGGCTTTGGCCAATTAGCTTTATCATCAAGCTCATTTTCAAGGTCCTTGTTTGACATCTCTCTACTATGTACTAAATCAATGTAAAAAACAACAACAATCAATTTAAACAGCTGAAATCAAACTACAAATATGTAAATAAATCCATTATCACTACTAGGAAAACATAACTAAACAAAAACACTGCTGAGTTTATAAAATTGAGGAACTAAACAAAAGATCCAACTCCTTAAGAAACCTACGTAGAAGAAATGATGTAGGAAGTTAAGCACATATGAAATTCAAGAAAAACTCAAACTAGTCATCTAACATCACTTTCACAAGCCTGTCATATTATCCTTTGTTTGATCATGATTAATATTCTAATCAGCATATAAGCTCCAGACAGAGAAGTTTCTCTCTGTTCGGTTTAATTGTTTTTCATTGACAACATTGGATCATGGTTAGACTTTCAAGATAAACAGACGAGATAAGAAAGATCAATGACATGCGTTGTAACCATCTATATTCAAACAAAGAACACGTGTTATGATGAAAATAGAAAACTGAGCTGTTCCATTGACCATTTACATTACAGTATGAATTATGCAAAGATGTACACATCAATTATTTTGAAATCATAGAAAGCTGACAGAGTAGATGCAAGATACTCAAACTATAAAAGAAAACAAAATTGGATGACTGTGGGGGCTTTTTTCTTTCGGCAGCTACAAATGGGTTGGGCTGCCGTAAGGAGCGAATTGATGAAATTATCCCCTGTGTCTGAGTTCAAAGGTCAAGCCCCAAGAATGCTTCGAAAGGATAGTGAAGCCTTAGGAAACACCTTGGTTACCTTCACCAACAAAAATAACAATAGCTTACAGATAAATTCTTGGCTTGGCATGAGAAGCTTGTGGCATGAGAGCTGATCATTCATGAGTTTAGCATGAGAGAGAGAAATAGCTGTGATTTCCTATGAGAAACAGAGTTTTTAAGACATGAGGGAAGGGATTCTAAGAGGATTCATTGAGGAGAGAGAGGGGGAGAGAGATGAGGGCAATGGATGGTTTAAGTGATTTTCCGGCAGCTAGACAAAGGTGCTGTCAAGTGCTGGAACAGTCTGCCATGAGAGAAAAATGGGGGGAGAATGATGAACAGAGCACGAATTTGCTAAGTTTTGAAGATGAGAGGGGAACCTTACTATCTGGATGTGGTTGTGGCTAGTGGTGAAGTATTGGGTGTTTTGGGTAATTTTCCAACAGCCTGACAAAAGCTATGTCAGACTCTGGAATGGCTTGCCATAATAGAAAATGGGAGGAGATGGAGGAATAGGGCACGAAATTGCAAAGTTTCAAAAATGAGAGATGAAGCTTGCTTTTTAGATGTGGGTTTTGGATGATGGGTAGGAAATACCTCTTTTTATATGTGCTGGAAGCTACTCTTTTCCAAGAAATCCTAATGGTTTCTATTCAATTTGGCCAAGCTTTTTCCTTCATTTCTCCTCCATTCCTTTGACTTATCCTATTTGGTGAAATTCTCTCTGCCCATTTGCACAAAATCAGGGATTTTTGGGAGCTCAATGCTCTTCCCGCAGCTGCCTCAGTGGAGAACTCCCATTTTCAGCCATATTTCTTCTTTCTTTTCTCCCCTCTTCTATGGCTAGATCTGATGGGGGAAAATAAATGGGTATGTACACTGGTTTGAAGGGTGTTTTGCTCAAGTATCCTTTGGTTTTTTGATGCCTTATGTTATGATTTGTCTTTGGCCATGTGCTGGAGATTTCTAGCAGCCTGCAAATGTGAATGGCTTTTGGCTTTTGTCATGGTTTTGTCTCTAGCATGGCTGGAGACTTTCAGATATTTTGTTGGTCACTTGTGCCATTCTTTAAGGTAATGAGCTAGTTCACTAAAGGGGTGGGCCAACTTCCCAAAGTGATGAGCTATCTTTTCTAAGGTAATGAACTATTTTCTATCCTTTATGCTTACCCACATATTTGGGCTCAAGAAATGGGCTTGAGTTTCGGGGCTCCCAAGCAACCCAAAACTTCCATTTCTCGGCTCATCAATGAGCCTCATGAAAACTCGTAACCATCCATACCATAACCTGCTCAGCAAGCCCCATGCATTCACGTGGCTTGGGCCTACTTAAGCTTGTAGCGTGGCATTTTGCTTATTTGCTTAGTGTGGCATGTGTGCAAGTGCATATGACGAACTCTTGCGTACCCAAGTTGTGTTTCTTCTTAATAAGGCATTGCGCTGGGTTGGGAATTCATTTGGGCTAAACCGTAGATTTTTTGGGCCTCAACAATGACTAGATCGGTAAAAACTACAAACAAGCCAATCACAAATCAATGGCAATTAAACTAAACTTTTAGAGTTAAAAAACAAAAGCCACAACATTAAATAAAGAGTGACCCCAACAACAACCTAGTTGTTGTATCTATTATAAAAATTATAGTTTTCCTTTTCCGTAAAGCCAAATACAAAACATTTATATTACAAATAACTTATAAACAAATTGGAAATCTTTTAAGGTACAATGAAATTGAAGAAAACAAAATAATAGGTAAGTAAAAGCAAAATAAATAATAAGTAAGAAGGTGAGTTTGGTACGATGAAGCACGTCAAAGACATTGTTCTAAAGCCTTTGTAGCCTTCCTACGTGCAGGTACTGACGATGTACAAGACTCCAAGATACGACCCCTTATACACAAACTCAAGATCCGTTATGAGCACGTTCATAGACGGATATAGGTATCCAAGTCACATAACCATTGCCAAAATAATAATATAAAGTAGAGAATATATATAAAAGTAGAAAAGGAGAGAATTAGTTTATGGTGGTGATTGCGGTATGTGATATTCTAATGGTGTATTGTGTTGGCGTGAGTCAACGTTCCTATTAGGAATAGAATTTGTTCCTAGTAAGAATAGAATTTCTATTTTATTGTAATTATTTAATTTGAGTAGAATTAGGAGATTTTGTACATATTTCCTATTTGTAACCACTCTGTATGTAATATATATTCCTCCTTGAGAGAAGAATAAACATATCAATTTTAAACCCTAATTATTTTAAGTTGGTATCAGAGCGGGTTCCTATCCGTCTCTACAACGTCAAAACCCTAATCCTAAAAATACCTATTTCCACTGCACCTAGCCTATACACCTAAGCATGTGTCGTCTTATATCTCTTACTGTCGTCGTCGTCGTCTAATCTTTTGCTGCTGCCACTATCTATCACCATGTCAGATGCCACTGACTCTTCTTCTTCTACTCCTATTGTGATGGTTCATACCGAATCGTCCACCAACCTACTTATGGGATTCAAATTGAATGGATCCAACTATGAGATATGGGCTTCGATGATCGAACTCTATGATACTACACAAGGCAAATTGGGTTACTTGACTGGCGACACTGATGCCCCTGATTCCAAAGACCCGAAATTTGGGAAGTGGAAAATTGATGATGTTGTTGTGAAAAGTTAGATGTTGCGAACTATGGAACCCAGTTTGTTGAATATGTTTCATACTCTACCTACTGCTAAGGAAATTTGGGATACTGTTAATCAGATGTTTTATGATGGCTCTGACATATCCCAGCTCTATGAACTGTGGTGCCATGCTACCCGTCTGAAGCAAGAGGGTCGTCCTGTCTCTACCTATTTTGCCGAACTTAAGGCGATCTGGCTTGAATTAGACAAGAGACGTCCTTTTTAGATGAAGTGTGCTGATGATATGAAGACTTTTCAAGCTGCTGTTATGGCAGATTGAGTGTATGATTTTTTGGCTGGCCTTGACGATACTTATGACAAGGTCTGTAGTGATATTCTAAGAAGTGATAAAGTTCTAAGTATCGAAAATGTAATTTTTATGGTTCGTCGAGAGGCTCAACGCCAGATTACTATGCTTGGATCCGGCACCAAGATTGGGGAACTTGCTGTGGTGTTTGCTTCTAAAAACACTGCTTTGGTTTCTCAGTGTACAGGGTCTAGCTCTTCTGCTGTTCTGCCTCGTCGCCTGACTCCTGCAGAAAAAGACAAACTGAAGTGTAATCATTGTGGTGAAAAGAGACATACTATCAACACTTGTTGGGCATTGCATGGGGTACCAGATTGGGAGAAGGAGCAGAGGCATTTAAAAAAGGAACAACTGGACATCAAAGCTCATGTGGCTGTTGCCACCACTTCTGTGGCTGGCATCATCACTAGGCACGACCACCTTAGTGCTAGTCCTCCGACTTTGACCGCCGTCTCAAGCACTCCAACACCTCCGCCTCCATGTAACTTTGGCAAGGCTTTCCATGCCTATGATACTCGATATACAAGTTGGATTATTGATTCAGGAGCTACTGACCATATGACGTATAATTCTACTTTATTCTCTACTACTCTTCCGCCTCATCGTGATCATGTTCTGACTGCTAATAATGTTACTGCTCCTGTCACAGGGGCTAGTTCTATACTCTTGACACATGTTTTACCATTAGACAAAGTGTTACTAGTTCCATCTTTGTCTAATAATTTATTATCTGTACCAAAAGTTACTGAGCAGTTAAACTGCGTCGTACTGATGTATTTGTCTTTTATCTTACTACAGGATATCCAGACTCGAGATATCTTTAGTCGTGGTACTAAAAATGGGGGGCTTTATTATATGGATGATGTGGCAACTAGTCGGGTTCTTCGTGCTGGTAGCGCCGAAACTTCTCAGCATTGTCGGATTTGTTTGCTACATTACCGATTTGGTCATACCTCATTTGGATATTTAAGGCATTTGTTTCCTGCATTATTTAGTGGTGTTAATGAGTCTGATTTCCAATGTCAGACTTGTATTTTAGCTAAGAGTCATCGAGTATCCTACTCTCCAAGTTGTAATAAACGGCTTATGCCATTTGATTTAGTTCATTATGATGTTTGGGGACCTTCCCCGGTTTCCACACCCTTGGGAGTTCGTTGGTTTGTGTTATTTGTGGATGATTGCACTCGTATGATATGGTTATATAGGATGAAAAATAAAAGTGATGTGGTCGAAATTTTTCAGCATTTCTATCAGATGATTTATACTCAATTTATGCTCCATATCAAGGTTTTTCGATCTGATAATGGTAGAGAATTTGTTAATTCGGCATTATCCCATTTTTCTTTCACACTAAGGGTGTGCTCCATGAAACTACTTGCCCTCAAACACCACAACAGAATGGGGTTGCTGAACGTAAAAATGGGCAGATCCTTGTTGTTGCCCGTGCTTTGCTACTTGGTGCGTCAGTTCCAAAGCGGTTTTGGATGGATTATGTTACCTATATAGTCTATCGCTTGAATCGTCTACCTTCACGAGTTTTGGATTTCCAAACTCCTATGCAGGTACTGACCCATCATATCTCTGCCTCTTCTATGCTGACTTTGTCTCCAAAGGTGTTTGGTTGTGTCATCTATGTTCACCTCCCTCAAAATCAGAGGAGTAAGCTGGACCCATGTGCTCTTCGCTGTGTCTTTTTGAGTTTCTCTCCTCATCAGAAAGGCTACTGATGCTATCATCCTGCAACCCGACGTCTATATGTGTCTTTGGATGTTACTTTTATTGAGGATGAAATGTTCTTCTCTGATACACCCGAGCATGTCCTTCAGGGGGAGACTAGTAGTGAAGGACATAACTGGCTAGATTTACAAGGGGGAGTTGTATTGGATAGTTTGATACAAAGGGAGAACTGGCCGAACCTGCTGAACCTGCTACACCGCCCAAACCTGCTACACTAGCTGAACCTGCTATTTTAACTGATGTCACTACTGTCACTGAACCGATTGCCCCCCATGAAGCTTCTCTAATAGTACCCGATCAAGCTCCCCTAGATATTCCTAAGGTAAGTGCTTTTATTCATAATTCTTATGTTTTACCACCTAGACGGAACCGTGGGGTTCCACCTGATCATTACTCACCAATAGGCAAAACGAGATATGCTATTGCCCATTATGTGTCTAATCACAGGTTATCTCCTGAGTGTAAAGTGTTTGTGACCAGAATGGATAATATTAAAATTCCAACCCATGTTGAGGAGGCATTTAATGATCCAAAGTGGGCTGTAGCCATGAATATTGAAATGGAGGCATTGCAAAAAAATAATACATGGGACATTGTTGATCTAGAAAAGGGAACGAAGCCTGTAGGATGCAGATGAGTGTTTAAAGTTAAATATAATGCAGATGGTATGGTGAAGAGGTACAAGACAAGATTAGTAGCTAAAGGGTTCACTCAGACATATGGAGTTGATTATCATGATACTTCTGCAGCTGTGGCTAAGATGAATACTGTCATAGTTTTGTTATCCTTAGCAGTAAACTTGGATTGGACCCTGAGGCAATTTGATGTAAAAAATGCATTCTTACATGGTGAACTAGAAGAAGAAGTGTACATGAGTCTTCCACTAGGGTATAGGGTTACCGGTGAAACGGGGAACGTGTGCAAATTGAAAAAGGCGTTGTACGAGTTAAAGCAAGGAATGGTCATTTGGATCTAGAAGGTTATACTGACGCAGATTATGCAAGGAATATTACAGATAAACGTTCTACATCAGGTTACTTCACATTTGTTGGTGGTAACCTAGTTACGTGGCGTAGCAAGAAGCAAAATGTTGTGTCTCGGTCCTCCGCAAAGTCTGAGTACAGAAGGATTGCCCAAGGGGTTTGTGAAATACTGTGGTTGAGGTGGTTACTTGCTGAAATTGGGTTTAGACCGAATGCAGTTACAAAGCTCCACTGTGATAATAAGTCTGCATTTGAAATTGCTAACAATCCGGTGCAACATGATCGAACTAAGCATGTAGAAGTTGATTGGCATTTCATTAAGGAGAAGCTAGAGCATAAGTTAATTTCTATACATTTTGTGCCTTTTTCAGAGCAGCTTGCAGATATGTTGACCCATGCCTTGTCAAAGCGCCGATTTGAAGACTCAATTGACAAGTTGAGCATTATCGATATCTATGCACCAACTTGAGGGGGAGTGTTGGCATGAGTCAACGTTCCTATTAGGAATAGAATTTGTTCATATTAGGAATATAATTTATATTTTATTGTAATTATCTAATTTGAGTAGAATTAGGAGATTTTGTACATATTTCTTATTTGTAACCACTTTGTATGTAATATATATATATTCCTCCTTGAGAGAAGAATAAACATATTAGTTTTAAACCCTAATTATTTTGAGTGGGTTGTTTCAAATGTGAAGGAGGAGTTGCCTTTTATAGGCATCCAAGAACATGTAACCTTCACCAACTAGAAAATTAAGGCATTTAATATAGAAATAAAACATGAATATTAAATATTTATAACCCCCACAATAAATAAATAAAACATCCAAAATAATTAAATAAATAAAACGGTTAAATTTTAAAACTTTTTTAAAATTCCAACAGTATCCAACTTAGATTAGCCAATGAGAAATCCATTAAAGAACACAATGATCATGTAAATTCTAGTCATGGTATCTGAATAGAAATTCACACATCTCATTCATATGGCAACTATCAAGATTAAGTATAGTATCTACTCTAATCCTGCATCAGATAACTCATAAACAAATGCTAATGGTGATCAATCACAAGCATTTGAAAATAAGCACATTAAGACAATGAATAAGAACTCAAGCACATAATTTGAAATCTGGAAATCAAATAACTAACAACTTGGAATATTCATATTGGGGCTACATTGAAACCTTAAAATGTAAACTTAGTTACACATCATGTTTGAAGTTTTAGTGCACGTAAGGAAGAAGGACAATTGAAAACTAGAGAAGAAAAACCCTTGAAGTTGCAGGTTGCACTCTCAGTTTTTCTCCTCTGCTTTTCTAGCATGAAAAACTGCTCTCTATTTTATGGCGTGAAAATCCTCTAGGTCTAGCGTCAAAACATATACATGTGTGAAAGCCACACATCTTCACTTCCTAATTAGGATAGGAAAAAGCCTCTAATTGTCGAGCATAACACTTCTTTTCTTCCTCCTCTAATTTTCTGCAGAACAAGTAAAACACAGTAAACAAACGCAATATACTCAAAACCTTAGCAAAATAGTGCATGTTAGATGCATATAATTATATATATTTTCATATCTATCACGAGCCATGAAGGTTTTTGGCATTTAGGAGGTCCATAGATCAGAGCCCCTTTAGGGGGCTGAGTCCCTATCTGCTTGAATGCATTGCGGTGTTTTTGAGGCCATATTACAACTTCCATTCACTGATTTTTTTACCTCCCTTTGACCACCAGCATCTTCCCAATTAACCTTCGAAATCGCAAGTTTTACCTACAAGTTTAAAGCAACAACTTAAGAGTCGGAGCAGTTATATCAGTGAGAACATTCCTTCATATCTGCTTTCCTACCAAGTGACAGTATAGGGCAACATAATTTATGACACCAAGGGTCACTTGCATTTTTATTAAATGGTTAGTCCAAAACATAGGGCATGATATAATTTAATAATCAAAACACTGAAAATTTCACATTTTGAATTCAGAAACGTACTCTCTTGGCGAGTACTTATTTACTTAGGATTTTGGTTACTTACCTATTTGTCTAGTCCTATTATAATTGATATTTATTTCCTATTTTATTTAGGGTTATATATAAATACCTCCATATCAAATAAGAATATATAACTGAATATTTGCCCTACTTTGTTTGACATAGTATCAGAGCCAGGTTTCTTGTGACCTGTGCTCAAGGGCGAAGCTATCTACATGGCTATAGTGGGTTGTAGCCCATGTAGGCATTTTTTTCTCCCCTTAAAGAATATAGACCTATAGCCCAGGTAGATTTAATATTTATTTAAAGAAAAGACCTATAGCCCATCAACACAACTTTCTAACTATGAGCACACCTTTCTTGTTGGACCCTCATTTTGGGAATATGGGTGTAGCTGCTTTTATTATTATTATTATTATTATTATTTATAAATATATGTCTTGGTGGTTTCCCATTTAATAATAAAAGATTTCAACACTCTCAAAGATCGCAAGGCACAACTTCAATAGGTACACTTTTAATTATTGTTGAACATATGATTAATGTATACTTTTATTAAAACCTAGCCCACCATTAGAAAAATTCATGGCTCCGCTCTTGCCTATGCTTGCATTCTCCTTACAATTTAAGTGTTTTACTCCCCTAATCTTCAATGGGGGAAGGGGGAGTGAAAATAATATGTTTTGCCTATTTCTTGACTCCAACGACCCCTTCTCTTCAAGGGGAGATGGGGAGTGAATATAAGTTGTGTTTGCGTGAATTAGATAAAATTTATATGGAAGAATTTGTTGTTGCTGTATTCCGTTTTCCATTATTGTTGTCATTGTCGTTGTCATTGTTGTTGTCGATGATGCCGTCATTTACCTTGCCTTTGCTTTTGCCTTGCCTTGCCTTACCTTTATTTGCCTTTGCTTTGCCTTGTCTCTGGCCTTGTCTTGCTTTGCGTTTGTTTTTTGCCTTTGCATTTGCCTCGAGTATGGTGTACTACGCCTCGCTTGTCAAGTTAGGCATGCAAAACATCTTTGCGCCAACTTGAGGAGGAGTGTTAGCGAGTCCTTATTTAGTTGGGATTTTGGTTCCTTACTATGTTAAGATTTTGGTTACTTATTTATTTGTCTAATCCTATTATAATTGAGATTTATTTCATATTTTATTTAGGGTTGTATTTCCTTATAAATACCTCAATATTGAAGAAGAATACATAATTGAATATTTGCCCTACTTTTGTTTGACATAGAAATAATTGCATGTAAACATGGAAGTATTGACCCTACCTCCCCCATGGCACTGGGCCTCACTCTCCTCTTGGTGTTTTCAAAATCTTCAAAAGCCACTTTTAAGACACATTTTTCTTCTATGCCATTCAGAAAAGAGTGCTACTATTTCCATTCACCTTTCCTATATTCTCACCCACCTTGTCTTTAAAATTTTAAAGACAAATTTACCAATTTGTAAAATAACTTAGGTAAAAACCCCTTCTCCCTCACTTTTCTTCACTCTTGAAGCTGCCACTTGTTCCCCGCCCCCCCAAAAAAAGAAAGAAAGAAGCTACCACTTGAGGACGGGGCATATATAAAGTATAGCTTTTGTCTTCTTCTCTGTAACTTTGGTTTTCAATATATGGTACCAGTGTATGGGCATGGGCTGGGCATTTTTTTTTTTTTTTTTTTTTTTTTTTTTTTTTTTTTGGGTCGTGTATATTGATTCATTCACCAATGAACGAAGATTGAAGAATCAAGTTTTCATTTGGTTGCAAATTGTCATAGTGGTCAAGTACTTCTGGAAAATTAGGTGAGAAAAAGAAACATTCATTTTGCTTTTTTATTTTCTTAATATTGTGATTGATAGTATAATCTAGATAGATTTAGAGGAAACAATACCATTTGAATTTGTTCCCTTCAAACGTACAGATGTCCGTGAAGAAAAATCCAAATGGGAGATAAATTCCTTGACTTATTAATCAAAACCTTCTAACTTCAAAATTTCCTGTCAGTACGTATTTTAGCAAACTTCCTCCAAGTAAAGTTTTTATCATAATTTTTTTTTAATACAAATCAAGCCCCTTGTTTGCTGTAAGGTCTTTGGTATAATTCTAGGAGAGAACCTTTTCCAATATTTAGTTACATTTTTCAGGCATAAGAGCATCTACAATCACGCTCTCTATTTCTTAGGAGCTCGATCCCCCAATTTTAGGAGGTGGGTAGGAATAACCCCACAGCCTAGAGATCTCCTAGAGTTTTGGCTTTCTTCCCCTTAACTAGAGCCTCAAACTCATTACAGCCTTTAGGAATAACCCAGCCAGCATCAATCTCCCTGAAAAGCTTCCACTGAACTTGTAAAGAAAAAGGACAGTGAAGAAACAAGTGATCAACACTTTCCTCGCAAAGATTGCACATAACACACCTGTGGGGTGAAAGACTCATATAAGGCCTCTTCTTTTGAAGATGGTCACAGGTATTGAGCTTCCGAGAGCTAGCAACCACACATGAGATTTGACTTTAGGAGGGGCCTCAGACTTCCAAATCTGGGAAGTGGGGGAAAAATCTGCATGTCGCCACAATTACAGAGAAAAAAACTATAGGATTTGCAGTAAAACAACCTGGACCCATCTAGCTTCCACCTTCTGCTATCACCGCGATATTGGGACAGACGAACCCTATCCAAAATCTGCAACATCCACACCAACTCACCCACCTCCACCTCGTTAAGATTTCTCCTGGAACCAAAATTCCAATGGTAAGGATGAACATAAGAATCCACGAGACTAGCAACACAATGGTGCTGATTCCTAGAGAGTGCAAACAGTCTAGGAAACAACTCCTTCATAGAACCCTCATCCAACCAAGTATCAGCCCATAACAACACCAGGTTCGCAGCCCTCACATATTTACTCCTGATCACCTTACGCCATATAGAGTCACGCTACTTCGGATACCTCCAAAGCCATTTGGCAAGCAAGGCTGCATTCTTCTCCCTCAAATTACCCACACCTAAACCCCCTTCCTCCTTACTTCTAGCCACCCCCGATCAGAATTTTGAACGAGGACAAGTAATACATTGGGATGCTACTCAGGACCGCTTGAATTAAAATAAGCCTTCCACCTCTAGATAAGTAGGTTTTTTTTCCAGTTTTGGAGGCGAAATTCCACCTTTTCCACAGCAGCATCCCAGAATTTAAGGGCTCTCGCGTCCCCCACAAGAGGTAGACCCAGGACTGTGTCAATCTGGAAATCTTCTCACAATTAGAGTTGATGCCCAGAAGAGAGCATTTAGCTTTATTGATGCTCAACCCAGAAATCTTACAAAATAAATTCAGCAACTCAAGTAAATGTTCCCAATTCTCTTCAGCAGCATCCAAGAAAAAAATAGTATCGTCTCCGAACTGCCTATGAGAAATCTCAACCCCCTCATTTCTGATCTTGATCCCCTCAATCATGTTGTTCTCTTGGGCTTTCTCCAAGAGCCTACTCAACACATCAACAACTAAATTGAACAAGAAAGGAGATAAAGGATATCCCAGCCTTACACCTCTAGAAGCCTTGAATTTACCCCTAGGCCTCCCCTTAATCAGAATGGAAAAATTTGTAGACTCCAAGCAACCTGAAATCCACTTCCTCCACCTTCCACTGAACCCTTCCCCTCCATGACTAAATCCAGAAACCTCACAATGGATAAACAATCTTAATTTCAAACTCCAAGGAAAACATGTGCCATGTTTATTTGAGACTTTGAATGAGCTATCTACAGAGATCACATCAGGGTTCACAATGACTAAAGGCCTAGACCAGTATTAATAGTGCACAAGAAAAGGATTAAAACAGTTTTGCATGTTGAATGAAAGTACATAATTGTATATTTGCCTTTACCACCACATGCATCTAAGTTCTAACAAGAAAATGAATCCTTCAAATAAAAGGCAAGAAAATTGAAACAGAGAATAAACCTAACCACAGAAGGTGCAGCTTGGCTAGCTGAGTCAAAAACTTCACACAAAGGTTGCTCACTTTCTCCATGGTATTGTTTCACAACTTCAGAGCCATTGACAGAGAAAAATTCATAATCGAGCCAAAGAAGTCTTTCCCGTACCAGGAGGACCATGAAGAAGCACTCCCATTGTATGTCGTAAACCAAAACTAACTAAAAAAAAAGATATTCATGAATGAATGTAATAAAAGAAGGACCGTAACTTATGAACACATCCTTGCAGTCGTATACCGAGACACAATTAACTTTAGTTCTACGCGCTTTTCTTGTATCACACACAAGACAAGCTTGGGATAGAGTTTGTACATAGTGATGAATATGACCCTGCCTGATGGAGGACAACCCATTGTATTGGAAAGATTTGAAGACAATAGCACACCATTCTTTGTAATCTGTGATAAAAGATATGAATAAAAGTAAAGAAAATGTTTTAGGGTACAAATGTAGACCCCATTTTTTTTATTAGAAAAACCATTTGTCACAATTGCCATACCAAATAAAGGGAGCAAAAAAAGTAACTCAGTTGCCAAATTTCAAACCTTAGAAGAAGGAAAAATCATTGCAAGAGCAAAGTAGTTCCCTGCGTCATTAGTTAACTGCCCACAAGAATCAACCCCAAAACGTCTAGCACATTAATCTGCTAATGAGCTGAGAGGAAATCCATCTGAAAATCTACTCTTCAAACAAGGAAGAGACGCCTATCAATCCAATGAATGCAAAAACATGACACAGTTAAACCAACAATAAAATAAGAAGAAAACTTGGATTGCTTTGTAAAAGAGAAGATGAAAAACTGGAAATTACCGCAACAACGGATCCAGGGGAGAAGGAAGAGGCAACATTGGAATGGAAGGCTCTGAAAGCCAAATTTTACAGCTTTTGGGGTCGTTCTGAATCAGAGATGGGTATTTAACCGAAGCTTGTTCAAGAGAGCTTGCAAAACTCTCATCAGTAGCTTCAAAATCAAGTGACCCAGGTGAAGAAAAGTTGTCAGAATTCGACAACCTTGATTGGTTCTTTGAATGCGTCTTTCCCTTTGAAGAAGGCATCTGTAAATACAACACTAACAAGGTTGGTGTTTTGGTATGGGGTCCCAGCTATGACTTTCGGGAAAATATGGTTTCAGGGGCCACAGCAAAAAGAGTTGGCAACAGAGAAACAGAGAGGCAAGGCTTGGGCGAAGAGAAGAGAGAGAGAGAAAGAGAGAGAGAGAGAGAGCCGCGCAGGGCAACTTAGAAAACGCATTGACTTCAACTTTTATATGACCCAACCCCCGCTGTACTTTCCACTTCATTTGTCTAATAAATAAAAACTTCCAGAAAGAGAAAACCCACAAAAACATTTAAAAAAACACTAAAAAGGAAAAACAGATAAACCAACACCATCTCAAAAAAGACTTCAACTTGTCATTTGCAGCAGAAGCTACTTCTCCCCACCTTCAAACCCTAAACTCATTATTTATTTCTCCACCAGAGGAAATTCAAACAGAGCAAAAAAAGAAAACCCCAACACTTCTTCCTCAGCCACAATCCCTTTTGGTTCTCTCAAGTTTGGAGGTGATTGCTTGAGTTTCTCATCCCACAGTCCAGAATGGCTGAAACCATCCAAGACCCAGTTGAGCAAACCGGGCATGGAGCCTGACCCACTATTCCACTTGCATTGTTCTCCATGGGAAAGTCTGAAGAAGACCAGGCTTTGCCTTCCAATGTTGCCTCTGAGGCCTCAGCTCAAAATGCAGAGGCTCACTGTGCTGGTTGCTGTGGTGGGTTTCGGAGATTCATTGGCCTCAGATGCATCTTGGTTCTCTTACTCTCTGTTGCTTTGTTCCTCTCTGCTATGTTCTGGTTACCTCCATTTCTTCAGTTTGCGGATCAGAGCGATCTGGATCTTGATTCAAAGTTCAAAGGTGCGTTATTGATCAATTTCTTCATTTGGGCTTTATTTGGTTTGTGTGTGTGTGTGCACCGACATTGTGTTACAAGCTGTTGGATCTGAAATTTCGGTTATTTTTTTGGAATTTTAGTTTGGGGTTTTTTAATTTATTTATTTTATATGGATATTTATGATTTGTGGTTATGACTTTTGGTTCGGTTGTTGAGAAAATGTTGGGAAGCAAAATTGTCAAGTTAGAATTCTTTTACCGGTTGTTTTGTTCTGGCGAATTGGGGGTGGAGGGGTTGGAGTGTGTTTGTGGTTTTGTTGGTCTTGGTGGGTATTTGTTGGTTGCTGAGAAAATGTAGGAACTCTGGCGATTGAGACATTTTGCCATATTTTGTTTATGTTATTTTGGTTCATTAAAAATGAGAAACATAAATAAGTTGGGCATCCCTGGCATAAAAAAATCTATGATTCATGAGTTTAATTTCGCATTTGTCTTCCCTAAATTATTCGGAACAAATAGGAACATTGCTATTTGCTTTGAATATAAACTGAAAACAAAATAATTGTAGTGAGACCTTTTGTTGATTTATGTGTTTCGTTCTTATTTCAGTTACCTTGTGCATTTCTATTTAAAGTAAGCCATGCAATATTATTAGTGTAAAGGACCTACATTTAAGGAATTGTCAGATGCTAAACGTGGATGTGTTAGTCCAAATGATGTTTTTCCTTTTAAGCTCCCGTCTGTTATTTGTGTTGTGAACTTGCTTTAATGACCAGAGATTTAAGTTTAAAAGCATATGTATATTTCTTTTATATATATATATATATCGAGGCATCCTTTATGGAAGTAGAAACATGTTCTTATTTGGATGTGTGCATGAGAAAAAACATTCATGTTTAAGTCAATGTGCTTTTCATCTATGATCTATAAGACGGTATGTTAAACACTAGAGAACCATGGAATCATGTCCAGCCATACCCAGCGCTTGTTTGAACGGCTCAAATAGAAATCACCACTAGTTAATTATATATATATATATATATATATATAGAGAGAGAGAGAGAGAGAGAGAGAGAGAGAGCGGAAAATCTTTGGGATATGAAGAAAATAAAATACGGTGTATTTTGTCATGAGTATTTCACTCTATATGTTTCTTACTTATATTGTATACATCATTATCTTCTGCTACTAACTGGCCCTATACAGTATGTGTGCTAGAGTTTGATTTCCAAGGGAGAAACTGATTACAAGCTTCCTCCTAGCCTTTCCTTGAGTTGTAAATTAATTATCAATCCTGAAGGTCTTTTATTCAATGAAATATAAGACATGGAATGAGTCTTGATTCGCATGATCATCAGCAAGTATGATAAATTGGGTTCAAATCCCAATAAATTTTTTATTTTTTTCATCTGGAATTAATTTCAATCATTGGGTTTCAATTTACAGGTTGTTGATACAATGGTCATCAGGTGACCATGTGCGCTCAAGCCTATACATTCTATATAGAGTTGTAGTAGCAGCTTGTTGCAAAAAATTTCATTTCTGTATTTATTAGGGGAGGAGGTTGTATGTTTTTGTGCATTTTTTATTTATTGTCTTTTGCCTTTTCAAGTGTGAATACTATTTACTGGTTCTGCCCTTACTTGCATCTAAAAGTTTTGCAAAACTAAATCACAAACCAATCCAGGAAAGAAGGAAACTCATAGTAATCTGCTAATAAGCCTGCTGAATTTCTGACCCACAAAAAAAAAAAAAAAAAAAAAAAAAAATGCTGAAGTTTGATATCATTGTCCTCTGTGTGTGTGTGTGTGTGAGAGAGAGAGAGAGAGAGAGAGAGAGAGAGAGAGAGAGATTATTAACCTCCATGCCCTGAATGCGATGCTACTGTTTGGGTCTTAAGGGTGCATTTGGAAGACATGATAAATCACCTTCATCTGAGTGTGATTCTTATTTTTTATTAACGGATTCCCATTTACAATGCCAAAAGATGTGAAGACTGCCACTAGTCCACTATTGTGGCAATTTGTGTTTCTTGTTTTTTTCCCCTCATGATAAGCTGGGTACAGAATGGGCTTTGGAGGGTATAATCTGTGAGTTCCTGCCTTACAATCTATAAGAATCTCTTAATCAGGAGAATGGTGATGTTAGAGAGAGAGAAAGAGTATTATGTGCCCAAAGATTCATCTGAATTTGATGCTAATATTTGGGTCTTAAGTGCGTTGATTCACCTTGTTATGGCTGTTGTTTTGTATCTTTGGAAGCTTGTTTAGATCACCAGAGCAACCTATAAGGCAATTAAAAGTGGGTAGGTTTGGGACAATGTAAAATGCAGTTGTTCCTGTTGATCTTGACTGCGTTATGCTATCACTTGATTCCAACTTCCAAGTGTTGTGCTAAGTTTTTTCATTTTATTACCTAACCAAAGCAGAGTATTCTACTTCCTTTCATTGCTTTGGTTTTTTTTTCCTTGACTATCCTCATAAGTCACCTAACAGGTTGCTTTTGAAATTCCATTTCTAGCAGAAATTATTATTTTTTCCTTCCATTTCGCTTGAGAACAATTTCAAATTAGTTTTGATGACATTGTACCAATTATGGTTTGTGACTGACGACATTTGTTTATCCAGATCATTATATAGTAGCAAGTTTCAATCTTTGGAAGCCAGTTTCTTTGCTGGAGGATAATATTTTGCAGCTTGAAAATGACATTTTTGATGAGATTGTCGCTCCATCAATTAAGGTATCTGCACTCTTCTTTTCTGATTAGAGTCTCCATCTTTTTCTATATTTTGATCTAATTCACTGTTTGAACCAGGTCGTAATCTTATCTGTGGAATCCTTAACTGGATCAAACACAACAACAGTTGTGTTTGGGGTTGATCCAGAGCCAAAATCATCAAAATTATTACCCACTTCTCAAAGTTTGATCAAGTCATCTTTTGAATATCTGGTTACACACCAATCACTCCGCCTGAATACATCGTTGTTTGGGCGCACATTCCTTTTTGAGGTACTAAAGTTTCCAGGTGGAATTACCATAGTTCCTCCACAAAATGCGTTTCTTCTGCAGAAAGTGCAGATCCTTTTCAATTTTACCTTAAACTTCTCCATCTATCAAATACAATTAAATTTCAATGAACTGAAAAGCCAGCTGAAGGCAGGATTACATCTAGCACCCTATGAGGTTAGTCTATCCTTTTTATGCTTTCTCAGTACCTGCATCTTGTGCATATATTTCCCTGAGGCGTATCTGTAGATTTATGTAGTCATATGTTTGCATCCAAGAATTTGTTGAAATTTTCTGTTCTGTTAGTTTGATGATTTCATAGCCTTCAATGCATTTTTGCATATTGTGATTGATTTTGTTTTGTTTTCCGCAGAACTTGTATATTAGCTTGTCAAACTCAAGAGGTTCAACAGTAGCAGCCCCCACAACTGTTCGGGCATCTGTGCTTCTGACTGTTGGAAATACTCCTTCAATGCAAAGGTTAAAACAACTGTCTCAAACCATCAGAGGCTCTCATTCAAGAAACCTGGGCCTGAATAATACTGTATTTGGTAGAGTTAAGCAAGTCCGTTTATCATCTAACTACTCCCTTAATGGTGGTGATGGCACTGTGCCGTCACCTTCTCCTGCTCCACTGCCCCATCCGCACCACCATCACCACCACCATCACCATCATCATCACCACCATCATCATCACCACCACAACCCCCATCTGGCTCCCGCAGTTTCACCCTCACCTGCACCCGACAGTGGTCCACCTGCAAGTCAAAAAGGTGGGCCTGCACCTAAGGATGGTTCACCTGACGCACAGAAAGGTTCTCCACCTAAGAAAAGTTGTGAAGCAAAGCCTCCCAGTTTCCAGTTTGGATCTAGAGGGAAGACTGGAAAGGAGTCTCATTTTGCTCCTGCAGTTGCACCAAATATGTTTCCTCCTGTCTTTATTCCCTCCCCACAAAAACAAGTACAGCCATCAGCACCCATCTACGGTTCAGTTCCAGTATCTAGTCCTTTGCCTCATGTGGTTTTTGCTCATGTCCAGCCGCCATCAAAGAGTGAATCAGATGCAAGACATTCTGACACAATGTCATCAGCTGAACCATCACCATCCACATGTATGTCAATTGATTTTATATTGTTTGTTCTTTTATCGTCAGATTTCTGTGCTCTTTTGAATAGTATTTGTCCATTCTGGTTCCTACAATCTCTTTCGTACGACAAGGTTGCTGATTGATTACTACAATCTCTCTTTCAAGCTGACCAAAACAAAATATTAAAATTTTATTGCCAAGAGATTGAATTAAACATTGATGTTAATGTTCAGTTATTCTTACACACTGTTGTTGCAGCTTCTGCAGCTCTTCTTCCTTCCGTTCAATGGGCATTTTCTCTGTTCCTAGTTCTGGTGTTACATGTATAACGTCGGATAAATGATCTGTTTCCAGTTAAACCACTTATGCGGTATTCAAAGGACTCAAACAACTGTATCATTCCAACACGAGCCAGAAGAGTTCTGGAATGGCGAGCAATCCAAGAATGGGTTCACATCTGAGTGAAAATATGTTGCTTCTATGCGTGTAAATATTTAATTAAAAATTAAAAATTCAGCTGGCAGATGCATATTCAGGTCAAAGTCACAGAGGTGGCAGGCCTTTGATTACATGTATTGCCACTGTTTTGTGTATTCTCTTCCACAGAAATGTAAGAGGGAAGAAACCAGCAAATGTATTCCACTACCTTTTTTTTTGTTCTTTCTCAATCCTTCTGAGTCAATGAGGTATGCCTTTGAAATATGTTAATCTGTTCACCAGAAAATTCCCAAACCTTCTTTTTCTTTCTTTTGGACTGAAAATTTTCATAAGGCTAACTTCTAGAGAAGTAAAATTTACACGTTATGCTCTTTGTCCGAATTTTCAGACTTGGGTAGAAGAAGCTCCACTCTGGTTGCTTTCCTTACTCTCTATCTCTACTGATGTAATCTGTTTTTAATTTTGATATGAATATTGTTAAGTGGTTTCTAGTTGTGTGCCACAACTCCCACCAAATTTCATGTTCCACATTATATTTGTATGTTGAATGAAGTAATACATAAAAAAGGTTGTCTAAAACAAAACTTTTGTATTGTTTGTTACTTAGTATAATATAATTTCTATTTTTAATTCTCTCATTCAGAAATAATTTGTCTAGGTGCCATGTGACTATGCTAATATTTTATTTTAGGGGTAATTATAATTTTGGTCATTGGGGTTAGGGTCGAATTTAATTTTGATCACCGCACTTTCAATTTCGATATTGATGATGACCAAAATTGGAAAATTGAAAGTGCGGTGATCAAAATTAAATTCGACCCTTTTTATAGTAAATTTGGCTTACACCCTTCAAATTCAATTTGTCATACCTAAAACCCTTCACTTTTTGTTCCTATAAATAATACCCAATTTGTATAAGTAAAAACCCATGACTAGGATCAAACTCAGCAAGTTACCTAATTAAGCATAAAATCTGATTTATTGTACTTTTCAGATTCCAAAAATACCCCCAACTAAGCCATTATTGCATTTTGTATATTAATGTAGGAATCAATATGGAAACAGTTTTTAATTTGATTGTATATAATGACAGATGTTGAATTTGGAAAGATCTCCAAATGGTTGTAATAGATATAGGAATTAATTTTGGAACATTTAAAAAAAATTTAACAATAAATTCAAATTTGGGTAATTGGTTTGTTTAATAAAATGTTTATGTTATTTTCTTTTTATGAATTATACATGACTAATAATCCACTTTATAATTGTTTATGAATAAAACTGTACATACTAATTATGTTGAAAAAATAATGTACCTATTTGTTTTATGAAAAATATAATTTACCAAGTATGAAAAGTGTACATAATTATCTATTCCAATATACCTACATTAATTTTAATGTACTTACAATTAGGATTTAGGTATTATATGTCATCCAATGTACCTACCATTTGAATAATATACCTACTACGAATAAAGTACCTATTATTTATCTAAATAATGTACCTATTTTTTTCTATAAATAATATAGCCTTTTTTCTCTGAATAAAGTACCTATTATTTGTTTTATTAAACGTAATTTTTTTAAATTAACCTATTTTCTCTCTCCAAATAACTTACCAATTTTTTTCCTCAAATAATGTACCTATCTTTCCTCTCCAAATAATGTACCTATATTTTATATAAATTATTGTGTACCTATTTTTAATTATGAAAAATATACGCAATTACAAAGTAACTGACTTTTTTTTTGGGGTAAATAATATACCTATATTTTATATGTATATATTTATATTATATTTTTCATAGGTACATTATTGGATATGTAATTTACAGATTTTTTTTTGTTTGCAATTTTAGGGGGCAAGATGTGAGAGGGAATGACAACTAAAAGAAATGGGGTGATTGATATGCTATTAATAGGGAGTATATTAATTACAATTATGGCAGTTAATGAAATGCTTGAAATAAATTATAAATAAAATATGAAGTTTAGTGGCAACGATGTAAACACATAGAAGTACAATGACCTCTTATATCCTACTGGTCATTTAAATTTGAAATTGGGTTTTACACATAGATTTATAGAGTGATGGGTATATGTCTAGAAAATAGAAAATGTAGGGATCTATATTGGACAAACCCAATTTTTTATGTGGAACATTTTTGCTTATCACTTTAACTCAAGGTGTATGTTCACCACTCTTCTTAACACTTGATACGTGTCTATAAGCATAACTATAGTTACATAAATCAAAGTAAAAAGTTAACCATGGTTATGCCTATACATACGTGTCAAATATTAAGAAGGATGATGAGCATACACCCAAAGATTAAAGTGGTGAGCAAAAATATTTCCTTTTTTATGACCCTTTTACGAAACATAAGTTGCCAAGTGCCACATGGCTTATTGTACCAATATTTATTCTATTTTCTAGTCATTTGTGACCATTTTCCGGAACAAGTTTGACGTTGTAGATAAATGGTGGCTCCTAGTTGTTATGCTACCATGCGACATTCCATTTAACAAATATGATGTATTTTCTTGGTGAGGCTCTTATGAATACCTTGTGATGCTTTGGTGATGCTCTATTTCTTAGGGGTGAACACAGGTCGGGTCATGTTGGGTATGGGCCTAAACTATATGCCGAATCGGGTCATGTCGGCAGGCCCAAATGGTGAACCAGAACTTCTTTGTTAGGTCCAATTTCGGGTTAATTCAAAACTCGAGTTTGGCGAGTCCGGATGGTTCGCTTTAGATGTCTGCCGAGGCCCAAAAACAACAACAACTGAAGGTGTTTTAAAAAATAAATAAAGAAAGAAAAGTTTTCTTGGTCCATTCTTTATTTTTTTGGTAAGATTTCCAGGCCCATTTAAGTTTTAGGGTTTTTGTATGTTTTTCCAGTTTATGTAGTTTTGCATATTTTACTGTTTATCATCATTCAAATACAAAAAAAAACCTTAAAACCTAAAAAAATCATCAACCACCACACATGTCCAAATTCACAAAAATCATTATTACAGACCATAGCAGATTGTGAGAGTAATCTCAATCACAATCTACATATTTGTAAAGTTAAAAAGAAAATCTAAATAAAAACAAGTGAATTTCCATATAGAAATCAAAATCCACGTGTTTCATACTCCTCAAATCAAATTAGCACCTCTGCACAAAGAAAAAAACACAGTTAATAAATATATGAATTAATAAGACAAAGAAACTACAAATTTTGATTAATGTAGAAAAGAAAGAAAACCTTTTTCCACTTTTTCCAAAGCTTGGTAGAAATCTAACTCATCCAATGCGGGTTCTTTGTAGTAGCTAAACTCCTCTACCCTTAACCAATTACTACAACAAATCAATGCCTCCACGGTTTTTGGAGTTAACGAACTTCTAAAGGGATCTAAAACTCTCTTTCTCATGCTAAAAGAACATTCCGAAGCTATGGTTGATGTTTGGACAACAAATACATCTTTTGCAACATTGGAAAGTATTGGAAATTTCGTAGCATTCTCCTTCCACCAATCAAGCGATTCACTGGAGGTTCCAATATGTATTTATCAATCTAATTTCTTATCTCAACAACATTCTTATCTTTCCTTGACTTCAAGAACTTTTGTAACCTTAATGATTTAGTGACATCATTGTTCATAGGCTTATTTACTGTAGCACCCCCTGAAACTTCGGTCAAATCTCACTTTACCCCCCTAAAGTTAAAATGGCCCACTTTACCTCCTTGACCGTGGTTTTGTGTTCCACTCCCCCCCCTCCTATTGTTAATGCCATCCAAAAGACTGTCAAAAAGGCTGACGTGGCAGGGGCATTATGGTAATAGCATCCACGTGGGCCAATTGCTGACCTTAGTCAGCTGCCTATGTGGCATATTGGACCCCACAAGGCGTTGAAAATCCTAATCTAAGTAGCTGAGTTCGTAAAATCAGGCCAAAGACCCCCTTCTCAGCCGATAAAATTTGGGGAGATTAGGGTTTGGACTGTGTCGAAGAGAGAGATTCGAACATTTGAGAAGAACCGAAAATTACAGAAGAGTGAAAACAGTTTGAGAACAAAATCTGGGCATTGCGCGAATATTGGACAGATTGGACATTGACGGTGCCGAGAGAGAAAGGAGGTTCTCAACTCGAGTACAGTAAGTAGCCCTTTGCTTTTGCTTTTGAAATGAAATCGATGAAAGCAATAGATTTATAAAGTGTGGTCTAGGTTTAAACTTCTTTATTGTCTGCTTGCTTTGTTGGGTCGGGTCCAAAGGTGTTGTGGTCCCCATTGTGTTGCTGTTATGTTTTCTTGTTTACTAGTTGTTTAATGGTCGTTTTAGTGCTTTATTGTTTACTAGTTCTTGTTTGCTAGTTGTTTAAGGGTCGTTTTAGTGTTGACTGGTAGTTTGGTGGTTGTGTTGCTATTCATATGACTAGGCAGTGGTTAAACTATACACATGACTAGGTAGTGGTTGAAGTGTGTGTTTTTATGTTCTGTTGTGCAGATGACAAAGGAATAGTCACCTTTGAAGTACACCATGGAGGTAAAATGGTAAAATCCCCAAACCTCAGTGAGTGGTGATTTTATGCGGGGGGTTTTGTTGATTATTTGGACTGGTGTCTTTTGGAATACATAAATTTGTTAGAGATATATGCTTAGCAAAAGAGCTTGGGCATCATGACCAAGTGGTTGTGACAGGGATACAAAATGGTAAAAAAGTGTGTATAGATAGTGATGCTCAACTACTTGATTGGTGTAATTTGGTGCCTCCTATCTTTCAAAGAGTGATTGTCATTTACTTGAAACACCCCACCGTTATTAGTATGGATGAATCTACAGTGGCTTGGAGAGAGAGGGGTCCTATTGCAATAAACCTATCTGCTGAATTTGAACAATCTGGTTATGAGGATATGTATGAGGAGGATGAGGAGGACGAGGGTGATGAAGGTACTGTTCATGAGCCTATACATGTGGAGGAAGCTGGTGATGAAGGCATTATTCCTCAGGGTACAAATGTGGCTGAGGATAGCCATGAAGGAACTTTTCCTGAGGGTATAACTGTAGATGAGGAAGATGATGAAGGTACTGTTCCAGATGGTATAGATGTGGAGGATGAGACTATATATGAAGAGGGAGAGAATGACAAAGGGCTTAAAATGATTGTGAAGACAGTGAAGACAGTGAAGACCCTGAATTTTATGATAGTGCTTATGACCAAAGTGAAGATGAACAATGCTTGCTGGAGAAGGATGATAGAGCATTTGACAACTATGTTGACCACAATGCTCCATATTTTGATCCAGCTGCAGATGAAGGAGAGAAATCAGAAGATATGGCTGTAAGTGATGTTAATAGCTTGGATAGTAGCTCACGTGATGAGGGTGCATTGCCTATGAGAAAAAGGAAGAGGAAACTGCCCAAGTTTGAAGATTTTAGGCCTGAAACAAATTTGAATAACCCAATTTTTAAGCTTGGTCTAAGATTTCCAAGTGTTTATGTTTTTAGGAAAGCAGTGAGAAACTACTCAATGTTCAACAGAAGGAAGATTAAGTTCTCCAAGAATGATAAAGATAAAGTTAGAGCAGTTTGTGATGGGATCAAGAATGGAAAATGTCCATTGTTTGTTTATGCTTCAGCTGTAAATGGAAGTAGCATGGTTCAAATTAAGAGTTATGAAGAGGAGCACACCTGTGGGATTGTTGAACGCAATGTGCATGCTAACTCATCATGGTTAGCAGAGAGATATGCTACACAGCTGTCTAGAATAATAAATTGGGATGTATGAACTTTTAAGGAAAGGGTGAATGAAGATCTATGTGTCATAGCTTCAGGATCACAGATCCAAGGCAAAAGGCAACTGCTATAAGTGAGGGGACTTACACAAAACAGTTTGAGACTCTTTGGGATTATGTTGAGGAGCTAAAAAGACAAATGTGGGAACTACTGTAAAGATTAAGTCCAATTTGGAGGGTGACAAATCTAGATTTCGAAGGATTTATATATACTTGGCAGCTACAAAGAAAGGATTTATTGATGCTTTGAGGACAGTTGTTGGTTTGGATGCTTGTCACATCAAAGGGCAACACCCTGGCCAATTACTATATGCTGTTGGTGTTGATCCTAACAACGGCATGTATCCAATAGCTTATGCAGTGGCAGAGGCTGAGAATTATGCAACTTGAACTTGGCTTTTGGAACTCTTAGCTGTTGATCTTGGCATTGAAAATAGCAATGGCTATGTATTCAATACAGATACAAAAGAGGGCTTAATTGATGCAGTGGGTGACATGTTTCCAAACTCTGAGCATAGACATTGCCTTAAACTTCTGCATGCCAATTTTATACTTGTTGGCCATAGAGGATTAGTTCTGAAACAACATATGAAGGCTGCTGCAAGAAGTAAAACTATACCTTAGTTTCAAGCAGAGATGAATAGCTCCAAGATTTGTCAGGACTAGCTTTTGATTGGTTGTCAAAGCTTAATCCAATGCAGTGGTGTAGATCTCACTTCAGAACACACTCAAAATGTGACATTCTCTTGAATAACATGTGTGAGGCATTCAACAAGTCTATCCTTGATGTTAGAGACAAGCCTATCGTAACATTGCTCGAGAGGATCAAGTATTACATCATGTTGTTGATGACAACTAGAAGAGAATCTATGGAGAAATGGGCCCATGATGTGGGGCCAAGAGTTTTTGCAACTCTTGAGAAGCTTAAGAAGCAGTCAGCCTGGTGCATTCCAAGGCTTGTAGGGGAGAACAAATATGAGGTTAAGTGTTTTGGAGGCACTCAGGTGGTAGTTGATTTAAGAAACAGAAGTTGTTCATGTAGGCAATGGGATCTAACTGGGATCCCATGTAAGCATGCTTGTGCTGCCATTGGAAAATTAAATGGCAATCACATCAGCTATGTCCATGATTATTACAAAAAAGAGGCCTTCATCAAAGCTTACACACCCATGGTGCATCCAATGGCAAGTCAAGACTTGTGGGCTAAAACAAATTTGCCACCTTTGCTGCCACCTAAGTTTCATAAGCAGCTAGGGAGGCCAAAGAAAACCAAGAAAGCTTCAGCTGGTGAACCATCACTACTACAAAAAAGGAAAAACACGACGGGAATTCACCGTCGTGTATTCTGTTTTCAAATGGTCGTGGAATCCACCGACATCTTTTCCATAACCAAACCACGACGGTGAATAACCGTCGTTGTTAAAACAAAAAACGTCATCAAAAAATAAAAACCGACGTCTTTGTTCTGCAAAAAGACATAAAAAAAAGTCGAGGATGAGAATAGACGACCAACTCCAACAAAAAAACGTCGTTAAAAAGGAAACAGATGACATATATTAACAGAACATGGCCGCAAGATAAACATACAACGACGAGAACTTAAACTTCACGCCGTTAAATAAATATTTAACGACAAATATAAATACGACGTCTTTACAATAATAATAGACGACGTTATTGACACCTACTACGTCACAACATTTCCCACAACCGTCGTAAAATAAATTTTCCACTTCGATTTTTCTATGAATTATGACGTGGAAATAGATGTCAGGGTCATTACTTACGACGCATGTATTTACAGAGACGACGTTGAATTGGATAAATAACGTCGGTTTCAAATAAATGAGAGCCGTATTACAGAATTTATACGTCATATTTTGAAAATAAACGACGTGGAAAAAATGATGGGGTCATTAATTACGACACAGTAATTTATAAGGACGACGTTGTCCTCTATATACAACGTCGGTACCATGAAAAAGACCGTCGTGTTTAATAATTTGTACGTCTTCATTTAAAAAATTGACGTCGTCTAATGCATATATCTTAACGTCGACAAGTTTAATGGACTTCAAATACCGTCGTAAAATAAATTTTCCACTTCGATTTTTCTACGAATTATGACGTGGAAATAGATGTCAGGTTCATTAATTACGACGTATGTATTTACTGAGACGACGTTGAAATGAATAAACAACGTCGGTTCCAAATAAATGAGAGCCGTATTACAGAATTTATACGTCATATTTTGAAAATAAACGACGTGGAAAAAATGATGGGGTCATTAATTACGACACAGTAATTTATGAGGACGACGTTGTCGTTTATATACAACGTCGGTACCATGAAAAAGACCGTCGTGTTTAATAATTTATACGTCTTCATTAAAAAATTAACGTCGTCTAATTCATAAATCTTAACGTCGACAAATTTAATGGATTTCAAATACCGTCGTGAATTCATCCTTTTCCACTTCGTTTATGAAAGAACATGCGACGTGGTAAATTCATGACGACGTCGTCTTTTGTAACGTTCAGGTTAAAGTTCTCGTCTTTTAGACGTCGGTGTTATGGGATTGGAGACGTGTTATGTTGAATTACATGGCGGTTCTTTATCAAAACCGTCGTGTTTGTAATCTGGAACCAGTAATTTTTGTACTGATTGTTTTGTGGCCAAAACCTGTATAATGAAAGTGAAGAAATCACATTACAATATATTACAAAATTAATGTCATACACTGCCAATTACATAAAGCATCATTCAACCCATATATCTTCACACCCATCTCGAATATTTTGACTCCCTAACTCAACCACCACTTCATCAAATGTGTCAACATTTGGCATCCCCCTAGTAAATGGCTCACACTCAATTCTCACATCACCTAAGACATCATCACCAATAACATCATTATATTCTCTATTAGGCATTGATAACACTACCGACCAACCACGATGCATCGGGTCGTCAACAAAAAATACTTGTTTGACTTGAGAAGCCAAAACAAATTGGTCATTCCTATGTCCAATTTTACTCAAATCTACAAGGGTAAATCCAAGTTCGTCCACTACAAGACCAGAAGTATTATCAATCCAATCACACCTAAAGACTGGGATTGTAAACTTTTGGTAGTCAAGGTCCCAAATTTCTTGAATGACACCATAGAAACCCATATTTGAGAGAATTGGGTTTTTATCCTTGGCACTAGCAACTTGCATAGTATGTGCAAGTAAATAAACTCCACTATTTTGAGTTGTCCGCACATCATCTTGTGCCTTGATGTTGAATTTAATACCTTTAATGAGATAGCTCCTATATAATGGCACTGCCATGTTTGGACCAGCTGCTAGCCACCTTAAATTTTCTGATACGCCATGATTGTCCTCATTAAGTTCACTTTGAACCTGCAAATTAATCATAACTTAATTCAATCTAACATAGAAAGAAGAAAATTAAAAGTCCAATATGTTATTCAATAACATATACCTTGAAGCGTAGCCATTGAATGAAAGTGCTATTGTGCTTATCCTGCAGCCACTTTGTTCTCTTTCTAAATTTTGGATAAGCGGTCTGGATGTGGATCATATGTTGCCTACATGACACACAAAATTCAAGTATTACGGTCCCAAACATATAAGATAAACATAAGAAATAATTTAAAATGGAAACTTAAAGAATAAAACTCATACGTACTCGATATAAGGTAGGACTTCCTCCGTATTCTCCAAGACATATAGATGTGCTTGGTTCAACAGGTCCCGATCAACTACGCTCACTGTGCAACCTGATAATGGCTTTGAAACTCCCATCTTTTGGCTTGAAGGCACTCCAACTGTACTAACATCAGATAAATGCTCGGTACAAAACTCTACAGCTTCTTCAGCTATATACCGCTCAGCAATGCAACCTTCGGGACGAGTACGATTCTGAACATACCCCTTTAGCACTTTCATATATCTTTCAAACGGATACATCCATCTAAAATATACTGGCCCACACAGACGAACTTCTCTGACAAGATGTACTACTAGATGAACCATGATATCAAAGAATGAAGGGGGAAAGTACTTCTCAAGCAAACACGTAACTACTACATCTTCTTTCCAATTATCTACTTGGAACATCAACAGTCTTTGCACATATAGCATTGAAGAAGAAGCACAAACGATTATTGATACCTTGCAAGGCTTCCCAAAACAGAACGATTGCCAAGGGAGCAAATTGTTTGCATTAAGGTAATGACAATCATGTGATTTAAGGCCAAGAAGTCTTGAATCTTGTAAAGATACAAGATTTTTTATATTTGAAGAATAACCTTCAGGGACTTCTACCATAGAAATAATTGCAAACCCTCTCTTCTCTGCTCTTGACAAATTCCAAGGCGGGAGGCAAACGAGTACGTCTTTCTCCATACTCGGGTTGCAAATCAGTTTTGACCCCCATGTTCAATAAATCTAATCGAGCAGCAATCCCTCTTTATTTTTTCCAGGGATCTCCAGCAATGTACCAATGATACTATCGCAAACATTCTTCTCAATGTGCATAACATCTAGGACAGCCTCACAGGAAGGTATTTCCAATACTCGAGATCAAAGAATATTGATTTCTTCTTCCAACAAACTCTGTCACCATCTTCAACCATATGCAGCACTTCTTCTCCGGTTAATGGCTCAGGAGGCGTGCCATATTCAGGTTTCCCATTAAAAGCTGCACGTTGCCTCCTATATGGATGATTGATCGGTAACCATTTTCTATGCCCAATGTAACAAATTTTGTGGCCATTTTTCAACCTGTGACTAGGTGTATCATCGCCGCATATTGGACAAGCTTTATATCCTTTAACAACACAACCAGATAAGTTTCCATAGGCGGGGAAATCATTAATTGTCCACATTAATGCAGCTCTGAGTGTAAAGTATTCTCCATTATGTGCATCATACACTCCTCCAATCCCATCCCACAAAGATTTTAAATCATCAATCAAAGGCTCCAAGTAGACGTCTATATCATTTCCCGGGCTGTTTAGGACCGGAAATCAATAAGGTCAACATCATGAACTTTCGTTTCATGCACAGCCATGGAGGGAGATTATATGTAACTAAGATAACTGGCCAGCAACTATATCTGCTACTTAGAGAACTGTGGGGATTGAATCCATCAGATGAAAGAGCCAATCTCAAGTTTCTCGGCTCATTACCAAACTCGGGCCATTTATCATCAAGAAGTTTCCAAGACGGGGAATCCGCTGGATGAGACATATAACCGTCAATTGATTTTCTAGCAGCATGCCAAGTCAAACTCTTAGCGGTCTCATGTGATCGAAACATCCTTTTAAACCTTGGAATTGGAGGAAAATACCACACCACCTTCGCTGGCACACCCTCTTTCAAGATTGAATCTTTGCCTTCCTTCCACCTTGAGATACCACAATTAGGACAATGAGTTAAATCCTCATACTCCTTCCTATACAAGATGCAATCATTGGGGCATGCGTGCATTTTCTCATAACTCAGCCCCAATGCACACAAAGTCTTTTTTGCCTCATACATAGAGGCCGGTATTGTATTTCCTTCTGGAAGCAAATCGCCTTGAAGTATCAATAATTCTGTAAAACAGACATCACTCATCCCATATTTTGCCTTCAAATTATACAACTTCACTAATGCCGATAACTTCGTGTACTTTCTACAACCAGGGTACAATGGTTGATCTCCATCCCCAATCACATTGGCAAACTCATAAGGATCAGATCCAAAATCACCAAAATCATTATCATCCATCTCTATTTCTTCAGACACAAAACTGTACCTACTATGGTCATCATCTTCTTCAACATTTCTACTAGCATTAGTAGCTGCTTCCCAAGGTTCTCCGTGAAATGTCCAATTCTTATAGCTTTGGTCAACTCCATTAAAGTATAAGTGATCCCTTATAATTCCAACCCCAAACAATTTCAAATTAACACATTTAACACATGGACAACGGATATGTGTGGTAGTTAGAAGATTTTCTACAGAAAAGTTCAAAAATGCTTCCACCCCTAACTCATATGCCTTCGATCTTCTATCCGAGTGCATCCATGACTTATCCATCTCCGACACTATACCCTATTATATATAATAAAGTGAAAAGACAAGCAATGACCATCACTATAGCAGATTATATAAAGTCTAATAGCAAGTAATATACAACAGAGACGACGGTTTTTAAACAAAAACAGACGTATTTGACATATATAGACGACGGATTTTACGTCGTCTAATTATAACCACGACGGTAGTTAAATAACACCGTCGTGTATAAGTAATAAAAACGACGGTTTAAAGTAAAAACCGTCGTCGTATGCCTGAAAACGCGTCGATATCCAGTTTATTTTCAAGATCCCAAAACCCTATTAAGAACACAACATAGACATGAAACCAAGCAAGAAACCAACATATACATGAAACCAACATATACTAAGCATGAAAACAATAAATCCATTCCCAATTCAACATAACAGAGAGTGATTAAAAGATCCGACAAAATGAAATCCATTCCATATTCAACATAACAGAGAGTGATCAAGAAAACATTAAACAGAAAATCCATGAACCCATACCTCCAACAACATTATTAACAGATCGCAAAACATATACCTAAAACCCTTTAACAAAACACCGTAATATATCATTCAATGAATTTACAAGGGGAAGAGAGGGTTTGTACTTACAGGTTGGCAGAGCTCACAGATTATGACCAAATTGGATTTGACACAGCCTGGCCCAACTTTGAATTAGAGATGAAGTGAGAGAGCGAAATGTTATGTTGCGCGAAATCAGAAAATTTTAGGGTTCAGGGTTAGAAGTATAAAAATAAGAGCCAAATCTGAAAATTTTAGGTCCCGCGAATATTTTAAGAAAGCGCGCTTTTTAAAACATCGACCGAAAATACAAGCGTCGTTAAAATTGAACATTAAACATGACGCTTATTACATTAAGGACGTCGTGGTAAAACTATGTACCACGCAAAATCAAAAAAGGCGTTAAAACTATGAAAAACCACGGCGGGGTTAAGTAACTAACGACGTTGTAAATAATAATAAACGACTAACAGGTAAACAAAACGTCGTTTAAAAAAGAAACCACGTCGGATTTTTCACCATACGACGTAAACTCAATATTCCACGACTCAATCACCGTCGTTAAAAGTAATACCCTAAACTTTAAAACCATAAATTATATATGTGTAAAATTTAATTTTATAAAATTGTTTATGGTTTTACATCCTAATAAATAACAAGCATAAACCCTAAACCCCAAAAATTATACTTTAACCATAAACCCTAATAAATAACAACCCTAAACCCCAAACCCTAAACCCTAAACCATCAAACTATATAAGTGATGCTATGACTCATAACAACAATTTTATTTTGGTTGGTCATTTTAAACTTTTCATTACACAAACTGCATTTTTTTGGGGTTTAGGGGGAAGAAAATATATCAATGACTTCATAGGAGTTGAAGTTGAATTTTTTGAATTTATTTTAAATTTATTTTTAAAATTTTGAATTAAAAATAATAAAATATTCTTATATCAACAACAAACCACGGCGGGGTTAAGTAACTAACGACGTTGTAAATAATAATAAACGACTAACAGGTAAACAAAACGTCGTTTAAAAAAGAAACCACGTCGTATTTTTCACCATACGACGTAAACTCAATATTCCACGACTCAATCACCGTCGTTAAAAGTAATACCCTAAACTTTAAAACCATAAATTATATATTTGTAAAATTTAATTTTATAAAATTGTTTATGGTTTTACATCCTAATAAATAACAAGCATAAACCCTAAACCCCAAAAATTATACTTTATCCATAAACCCTAATAAATAACAACCCTAAACCCCAAACCCTAAAACCTAAACCCTAAACCATCAAACTATATAAGTGATGCTATGACTCATAAAAACAATTTTATTTTGGTTGGTCATTTTAAACTTTTCATTACACAAACTGCATTTTTTTGGGGTTTAGGGGGAAGAAAATATATCAATGACTTCATAGGAGTTGAAGTTGAATTTTTTGAATTTATTTTAAATTTATTTTTAAAATTTTGAATTAAAAATAATAAAATATTCTTATATCAACAACAAACCACGGCGGGGTTAAGTAACTAACGACGTTGTAAACAATAATAAACGACTAACAGGTAAACAAAACGTCGTTTAAAAAGAAACCACGTCGTATTTTTCACCATACGACGTAAACTCAATATTCCACGACTCAATCACCGTCGTTAAAAGTAATACCCTAAACTTTAAAACCATAAATTATATATGTGTAAAATATGAAAACCTCAGCAAATTGTTTTTTCTTTTATAATATGAAAACCTCAGCAAATTGTTTTTTCTTTTATAATATGAAAACCTCTGCAAATTTTCAGGGAAAAAAAGGATGTATATTATAGACAAAATTTGTACATTATATATTATAGACAAAATTAGTACATATAAAAATATCAAGTGTTCCAAAAATCCTCTAATCCATATGAAGGCAAACAAACTCTGCCCATTCTTTCCTGACTTCATCAATGGCTGCTTGGGGGTATGGCGCTTGATCTTTTCCCTTGGCAAACTGCAATCCATAAACAACGATTATTAAGCTTTACAAAATAAAAAGAAATTCAGTCACAGACGACGTTTTTTTTTATAACCGACGTAGTCTATCGATTCAACGACGGTAATTTTAAATGACCGTCGTTGATAATACAAAAACCAAATAAAATGTTTCTGAAAATTTTTTTCTTACCTTCTTCTCAAACTCCAAGGAAGGATCCATGATGATGTCCCTCATGAAGCGCATGACATAATACCCGCATTCGACACTGCTGGGTTGCTTTGGTGTGCCTGGCAGAGTTTTCCAAATTGGTGCTTTACGGCCTGGTCTGCCTATGTGGGAATTATAAATTTTTAAAGCACTGTTCACGATGTTTTTGCCCTCCTCATCAACCACACGATTTCCAGGCAGAGGATCCAGAAAATAGACGGTTTCCCTCTTTGCCCTCACAATCAGCAAGACCCAATGACGGCTGCACAAAAATAAAATAAAAAACGACGGTTATTTATAAAAACCGACGTATTATATAGTTTCACACGACGTAAGAACTTAATCATCGACGTGATTATAAATTTATCACGACGAGAATTAACTACCGACGTGGTTAGTTGTTTCAAACGACTATAAATAAATAACCGACGTGGTTAGATGTTTCAAACGACACAGAATTAGTTAAACAGTTTTATAAGTGAAAATCATACAAACAAAATCCTTTTAAGGAGACTAACCCTGGATTGTAAGGCATCATGAAAATCTGTTCACCATCTGTTTTCTGAAGTCGACTGGCTACAATTCGTGATCTGTCAGTTAGTGACCCAGCGTTGGCACTAACTTGAGCAGGGTCGATAAAGCCAACCATGCTGCACATATTTGCTTCTCTCAAAAGATCATATAAGCACCTAAATATATAAAACAAACGACGGTTATTTATACACAAACGACGTATTATACAATTTCACACGACGAACTGAAATAGAAACAGACGTGATAACTAATTTATCACGACGGTAAAAAAGAACGACGTGGTTAGTGGTTTAAAACGACGCAATAATTAAACAACCGACGTCTTATGATATAATGTTTGATATTTGATTAGGACAAACCTCATATATACTGCAACCACAGTAGCCCCAATTTCTTCCATGCCTGCAAACTGTGTAATATCTTCATGCAAGACGAAGGTACTTCGATCTGCACCAAACACCTCCTTCTCAATGTTGAAGGTCATGATCTTCCCCTGTGGCTTTAGTGTAGTTTCCACATAACCACAAAGGGATTGTAAGGAAGATGGCACCTCCACATTTGAATAATCAACTACTTCATTACCCTGTTTAAAGAAATAAAGCAAAATAAATGACGTGGTAATTCATTAAAAACGACGGTTTAAATTAAAAAACGTCGTCTGATTATAATTTAAACGACGGTAATTAAATACCGTCGTTTTAGATTATTTATTACGTCGTAGAAAATAAATTCCGACGTCTAATGTGAAAACAAACGACGGTTTAAAGAAAAATATCGACGTCTGAAATGTGAAAAACAAATTAAAAAGGCAAAGTTATGAGAATATACCTCCTCGTCATGCTTTTCTTCATCTTGTTTTTCTTCTTTCTTCTCTTCAACATTTGTGTCTTCCTCTTTGCCTTCATCTTTATTCTCTTTTTTTCTTCCTTCTTCCCTTCATCTTTTTTTTCTCCCATCTTCTGTTCATCTTTATTTTCTTCTTTCTTCTCTTCATCTTGATTATCTAAAGCCCCAGATTTCTGTTTTAAATAATAAAGAAATATATATATAAGACAGATTGTACAGAGAGTAAAAAAATTAAACCAAAACGTCGTGGTAAGGCATAACATAAGACGGTATGTAAGAATTATGGACGTCTTAAAATTATTAAACGATGGTAAATAATAAACGTCGTGGTAATTTTATATTACGTCGTTAAGGACAAAAACCGTCGTCTAAAAGCCACAAAGTACGACGTCTAATGGCGTGTAAAACAAGTAAACTAAATACGACGTGGTATTTAAATAAACACGACGGGTTATTTATAAAATCGTCGTGGTATGGTTTTAAAACGACGGGTTTATTCATAATAACGACGTCTAATGTTTAAAAAAAAACAGAGAATTCAAAGTTCAGTTATGTTACCGTTTGTTCCTGCTGTTCCCCATTTCTGGCAGTATCATCCTCTAAATGTAGGGATCTCACTTCAGCCCCAGAACAGCTTGCTTTATCAGACATTGGATTTTGGGACTTTGCTGTAGACCTTGGTTTTGACAGGGGCTAGTTTTCGGTTTAAGCATGCTTGGATCAAAATTGGGGATGAGGTGGGAAAGCTGACTTAGTAAATGTTCCCTCTCAGCCTCTACTAATTGTTTGGTTCTAGCTTCCATCTTCTTAGTCTCTTCTTGAAGGACAATTCTTACACTTTCCTTCAATTGATCAGCAAACTTTACCCTTTGTGGTCTAGGTAAATTGAAGAATTGCCTAGGGGAAATCCCAGCACCTACCCCTCTTACTCTCCCTGGATGCTCGGGACCCAAAGCCAAGGTCAACACATCATTACTGCCAGTTATACTCAGACTGCCTTCAGCCACTTGTTTTTGCAATTCATCCTAAAACAAAGACATAAAAAAAAGTCAGCACAAGAAAATACACGACGGTTATTTATAAACAAACGACGCATTATATAATTTCACACGACGCACCAATATAGAAATCGACGTTATAATATATTTATAACGACGTTAATTAAAACCGACGTGGTTAGTTGTTTAAAACGACGCAATAAATAAACCACCGACGTCTTATGCTGTAATTACAGAAAACAGAGTTGTGATTCCAGATTTAGATCTTTCACGACGTTTTTGAAAACATTTCGACGTAGTAATAACATTAACACGACGGAAAAAATTAACCACCGACGTCTTATGCTATAATTACAGAAAACAGAGTTGTGATTCCAGATTTAGATCTTTCACGACGTTTTTTAAAATATTTCGACGTAGTAAAATCATTCACACGACGGAAAAATATAACATAAGACGTAATAAGAATTATACACAGTATAATAAAAATTTAAAACAGAGTGTGTAGGCTTACAATTAATTTTGCTTTCTCTGCCACCTTTGGATCCGGGATGTTACCATGTTTGTCCTGTCTAGCTTTCTTCCATAAGGTAGATCGATCAATTTCTACCCCAGGCATGGTTTCCTCCAATTGATCCTCCAAACCAGCATATCCTTTTCGAGACAATCGATGATTGTACTCAAGTTTCTCCCTAATCTGTGCATGTTGAGAATGCACAGACTCAAAGTCTTTGGATAACCTTGAAGCTACAAAGGCATCCCATTCTGCTTTCTCTATGAATTTATATACTTCAGGGGGTTGGCTTAATTTCTCCCTCTCCTTGATGTATGGAAGGATATAATGCCTCGTCAGTGTAGACTTGAAATCCTTCCATTTCTTGGCAGCAGAAGATAACACCGAGGTCTTGCCCCCTTGACCTACCACAAAAGCCATGTCAACGGCTTCCCAAATCTGCTCCTTTATATCATTGGGGATGTCAGCCCATTTCTTGTCCACAAGTGGGACTCTGGAGCGTGCCAACACACCAATGTAGGACTGCATCTCAGTATGTGCAGGGCCACATCCTTTCCCCCTTTTATTGTACTCAACAACTGGCTTGATTTTCTGCAATTTTCTCTTCACAACACGAGGCATTGTGCTCATACCTCGACCTGACTTTGAATCCTCAGAAATTGTTGTCGTGCTGCTTGGTTCTTTCTCAGCAGATGAAACAAACTTCATCTTCTTCAAGGGCTTGTCTTGAGGAGTTACCATTCCAAGCTCCTTACCTCCATTTTTTTTGGAGCCAGAGTACTTACTTTGGTCTTGAGAAACCATGGTTACAGAATAAACAAACCTGCAAGTGAAAATATTTCGTGAAAAAAATTAGAACACAAACGACGGTTATTTATAAACTACGACGTATGATAAGATTTTACACGACGTAATAACATAACATCAGACGTAATAAATGATTAAAGAAGAACAATATAAATGTTTAAACAACGACGAAACAATATTAAATAAGACGTAATAAGAACTTATTACGGCGATATTTACACGACGTCGTGATATTCATATTAACACGACGTAAATATTAATATAACGTCGTGTTATGGATATTCACACGACGTGAATAATAAGCTACCGTCGTATTTATAAGAAACCAAAAACATTTTTCTTTCTTTGTGAATGTTTGATTGCAGGTTTAATTTCTCTGAAACATGGTTTTTGTTTTTCCTAATTTGATAAAATACAAAGAAAAAAAGCTTTGGCATCTTTTTATAGACGACGGTATCTTAGTATAACGTCGTGGTATGAACATTCACACGGCGTCAATAATAAGATACCGTCGTCTATATAAGATACCAAACCCTACTTTCTTTGTCTCTGTATTTTATCAAATTAGGAAAAACGAAAACCATGGTTCAGAGAAATCAAACCTGCAACTAAACAAGCAAATAAAAAATTGACCGTCATTTTAAAAACAACTTAGATCAATTTTAAGACGACGCTAGGACGACTGACGAACCGTCGTGGTCTACATATTTAACCACGTAAATAAAAAGCTACCGTCGTCTTATTTAGTTGAATTAGTTGTGTTCAAAGTTGAAACTTTCCCTCTCTGTCTGTGTATTTTATCAAACTTGGAAAGAATAAAAATGATTTTCGCCAGAAAAAAGGTAAAAAGATTTTCAAAACAAAAACAGTATGAGCATGCAAAATAGCAACAAAAATAGTGAGAAATGAAAGCTTACCTTTTGCGTGCAATGAAAGCTTTCTCTCGGATTTTGGTGTTTAAGTTCAGAGGCGACGACGAAGACAAGAGGAAGACGATGAGATACTCTGACAGTGCTCTGACAAGGAAAAAAGACGAAAAGTTTTCTCTGGGAGATTGAAATTTTTTCTCGGGTTTGGAAACAGTGCATGTGTAAGTCAGGTAGACGAAAAGTTGTATATGTATACAAACCGTTTCATAGTAATAAGACGGCGGTTTACATAGAACGACGACGTATTAATAGACAAACTACGACGCTAATTTGAACTTATGACGTGGTACATAAATACGACAGTAGTGTTGTAGGTACCGCCGTAGTAAACTCCTAAATAAAAGTCGATAACTCAATATCTCGCGTCATGGTAGAAATATTTAACACGACGGTTGTTTTAAATTTACGACGTTTATTTTTATAATATACGTCGTTTTATTGTAATATACCGACGTGGATAACACTAAACTAAAACGACGTATTATTTTTTCCACGACGTGGATTCGTTTTTAAACGTCGTTATGTGTAATATAACCGACGTGGATTTTATTTTTTTATTATAAATATAATTTTTTCCCCTTTTTCTTATAGTTTATTTTTCAAAAACAGTGCCTTATAGATATAGTTTTTTTTCCCGAGGAAATTAATGTTCTAGAATTTGTAAAGTTTCTTTTCTAGGTGACTGATTTAAATCAAATAAAAATATAAAACAACGACTGTTTTTGTTATACCGTCGTCGTTTCTTGTCGTCTTAAGTAAGAATAAAACGACGTAATGTATTTGTTACCGACGAGGATTATTTTTGTTAAACGTCGTTATGTGTAATATAACCGACGTGGATTTGGTTTTTTAATTATAAATAGGGTTTTTTTCCACGGGTTCTTTCAGTTTTAGTATTCGATTAGGGTTTCAACTTCTTCTTGCCCCTTTCTCTGTCTCACCTCATCTCTTGGGAGGCAATTGTTTGAATGTTGGTTATCTGTGGCTGATTGCAAATCACCAATTTTCAATAAATTGTCTCTCTGATTGCAAATCTGTGGCTGCCGTCGTGAAGTTTTAGGAGGCAATTGTTTGGATGTGAATGTGTGTGTGCGTTTGTGTAGATACACAAACGCACACACATCATTCACTTCCAAAAAATTGTCTCTCTGATTGCAAATCTGTGGCTGCCGTCGTGAAATTTTAGGAGGCAATTGTTTGGATGTTGATGTGTGCGTGCGTTTGTGTAGATACACAAACGCACACATATCATCAACTTCCAAAAAATTGTCTCTCTGATTGCAAATCTGAGGCTGCCGTCGTCAAATTTCAGAAGCAATTTTTTGGATGTTAATGTGTATGTGCGTTTGTGTATCTCAAAGACACAAATACACATACATCATTAACCTCTAAAATATTGTCTTTCTGGTAAGATTATGATGAGCAACAGAGTTCCATCTTGTAAGATTTCCTAACCCTTGTGATCTCAGAATAATCTGATTATGTCGGCGGTTTTCTATATAAACCGTCGTGGTTATTTCAATTCTTGTCGTTAGGTAGATCTACCGACGTAGGATAACAAAATCGAAGAAATAAATTGTTAAAAAAAATTCTTATTCAGACGACGGTTTAAATATAATTTATGACGTATAAAGTGGACAAATACGACGTTAAATTCTATAATACGTCGTTATATGAAAACCCCAACTTGGTAAGATTTGAAAGATGTCGTCGTAGAAATACGAGAAAGACGTCGTTATATTTACCTTTGCCGTAGTTGTACATTAATTTAATACGGCGGTATTTTGTATTTTACCGCCGTGGATTTATTTGTAATTATACGTCGCCTTATACGAAAACTTGGTCGTGTTAATTTCTGGGTAAAAACGACGGCTTTTTTTGAAACCGTCGTCTTTACTTTCTACGTCGGTCGGTTCATAACTTCCGCCGTTATTTGTTGGCTATGATTTTACCTCTTGAAAATCCTATTTCAATAAGACGTCGGTTTTTTAATTAAGTACGTCGTGTTTTTTGGAACAGCCATTTGAAACTCCATTTTTTAGTTGTCTAATGTGTTATTACACGGCGGTTTTATAAAACCGTCGTCTTTTAAAAAACAACGACGGTTTTCACGTAGACCGTCGTGTTTTTGTGGTCGTCTTTTTCACTTTTTGTAGTAGGGTTGTAAAAAAAAAAAAAAAAAAAAAAAAAAAAAAAAAAAAAAAAAAAAAAAAAAAAAAAAAAAAAAAAAAAAAAAAAAAAAAAAAAAAAAAAAAAAAAAAAAAAAAAAAAAAAAAAAAAAAAAAAAAAAAAAAAAAAAAAAAAAAAAAAAAAAAAAAAAAAAAAAAAAAAAAAAAAAAAAAAAAAAAAAAAAAAAAAAAAAAAAAAAAAAAAAAAAAAAAAAAAAAAAAAAAAAAAAAAAAAAAAAAAAAAAAAAAAAAAAAAAAAAAAAAAAAAAAAAAAAAAAAAAAAAAAAAAAAAAAAAAAAAAAAAAAAAAAAAAAAAAAAAAAAAAAAAAAAAAAAAAAAAAAAAAAAAAAAAAAAAAAAAAAAAAAAAAAAAAAAAAAAAAAAAAGTTCCCCAAGTTTTGGACTCAATCCGATATCGATTGGTCCATGAAATCGGACTATTCAGGTTCGTAGGAAGTTCGTTCTGAAATGGAGTGGTTGGTGTATTGCATAGTTTTAGCCATTGGATTTCACTCAAAACCAACCAAATGACTCCTCCCACCATATTATGTTGTTCCCCAAGTTTTGGACTCAATCCGATATCGATTGGTCCATGAAATCGGACTATTCAGGTTCGTAGGAAGTTCGTTCTGAAATGGAGTGGTTGGTGTATTGCATAGTTTTAGCCATTGGATTTCACTC